CTCTCTCAGGAGCCACCGATTGCCTGTTGTTCTTCATCTAGAGGGGGGACCTTGTGACCTTTCCCCATCCACATGGCCATGCCGACTGGTGTCAGAGGCCTTGTGTGGGCAATCATATTGTTGAGACTTCATGGGGACAGCTTTCCCATCGTGGAACGTGTACCATCTAACAGCAGGCGTCCTGGCGTTCTTATAATCTTTCTGCCTCCATGTCCACGGTGCTTTTTATGTGATATTTCAGAATCCACTGTCAAACTCAAGGTCATGAAGATTTCTCCTATGTTTTCTCTGGCATTTACGGTTTTAGTTATTAAAGATAGGACATTAATCTATTTTGAGTTAATTTTGTATACGGAGTGAAGTGGGGGTCCACCTCCAGTCCATTGCATATAGAAATCTGTTTTTCCTGGCACTGTTTGTGGAGGGCAAAGTTCCCCCAGCGAATGGCCTTGGCCCCGTCAGGAGTCACTGACAGCATGTTAATTCCTGGGCTCTTGCTGGTATCTTGTTGGTCCACATGAGCCATGGCAGCATCCCACTGTATTGAGCCTGTAACTTTTAGTCAGTCTTAAAGTTGGGAAGTGTGATCCTGCAACCCCACTCTTCTTTCTTAAGTTGGCTCTGGCATTCCTGGGCCCTCTCAGCCCTTAGGATTTTGAGGATTAGTGCTTTCATTTCTGAGGAAATGGCCACAAGGATTTTGATAACGACTGTGCTGAATCTGTAGGTGGCATTGGGTAGTGTTATCATCTGACAGTGCCATCGTCTAACCCGTGAGTATGGGGCATCTTTCCATTGGTATGGGTCTTCAGTTTGTTCAGCGATCTGCCATTATCCAGTGCCTGGTTAAACAGACCTGTGTGTTTTATTCTTTTGGACGCCTTTGTAAAGGAATTGCTTCCTTAGCCTCCTCTTTGCTTGTTCATTGTTGGTGCCTAGATAGGCATTTGATTATTTTCTTAATAAAAAAAAAATCAGACAGAGAGAGGTTGCCCACATGCCATGGCACCCATGTGAAAGTCAGAGGCCAGCCTCAGGTGTCATCTTTGCCTTCTGCCTTGAGATGGAGTCTCTTGTTCAGCACTGTGCACCCAAAACCTTCTGAGGATCTTCCTGAAGGAGTGCTGGGATCCCAGACGTGTGCTGCCTTGTCTGCTTTTTATGTGGGTTCTGGGGATTCAAACTCGGGTCCCCACATTGTGTGACAAGTGCTTTACCCACTGAGCCTTCACACATTTGATTTGCCCACATCCCCACACATTTGATTATGAGTGTGGATCATGGATTCTGAACTGTTGCTGAATTCTGTTTTTGGTGTTTTGTTTTGTGAATAGAGCTTTACTATGTAGCCCAGGCTAGCCTTGAATTTATGATCTTCTGCCTCAGGCTCCCAAATGTGGGGTGATAGGCCTGAATTGCCACATCTGGTTTCTTGAATTCTCTAAAAAGCTCTGTAACTTACAGATTCCTGGGGCTTTTCTAGATTTCAGATTATAGCAGCTGCAAGTAGAGATGATTTTATTTCTTTCTTCCCAGTTATGACATTTTCCCCTGGGTAATAGCTCTGGCAGAACTCCTGGTGCCATGTGATTTGTATCTCAAGATATCTTTTATGGGGCTGGAGACATGGCTCAGTGGTTAAGAGCACTGGCTGCTCTTGCAGAGGACCTGGGTTCAGTCCCCAGTACCCACGTGGAGGCTAACAGCCGTCCGTAACCCCAGTTCCAGGGGATCCGATGCCCTCTTCTGACCTCTGCAGACATTACACAACACAGATGCACTTAGATACATGCAGGCAATATATTCCATTCATACACATAAAAAAGATATATTTTATGCATGCTTATTTTGATAGTACTTGAATTTATGATGATACATTTGGAGACAGTGGGTCCTGTAACCTTCTTGTGACTATTGGGTTTTGTTCAAGCTGATAGCCAATTGTTGGAGGATTATTTTGAACATGTGCAGGCTTGGCTTTAGACTTTGCTGGTGTACAGGTGTGGAAGACTGTAATATTCTGAGCCCTTCCCCTTCGTGTAAGTTTAACTGGTCAATCATCTGGTCACAGGACCACCCTGGAAGGCAGGTTATGCTAAATAGATGGGTGGAATACCTAGTGCATATGAGGAGTTTTTCCTGCCTGGAATTCCACCTACTAGGGCAGAACTTCCTGACCACCTGCAGCCACATAGTCTATGAGTTTGCCCACTTTGAATTCTTCAGAGAAGCATAATCTTTTCTTCTCCATATCCCTTTTCTAAACATGCTTTCGTTGATGCTCTGGGCTCCCCTAGCATCTTGTATCTTTACTTTTTCTCTGAAGCTTCCTTCTCCCAGCCACGTGTCTGACCCCCATGTAGACTCTAAACCTGCATGACTTCATGGATTTCTTTCCCTCTCCCCTCCATTCTCTTCCTCGAGGCAGCTGCAGAGATGACCAGCTTGCCTGCCCCCCCCCCAAGGATTTTTCTTTAAAAAAATCTAATAAAATTGTAAAAGCTTAATTTGACTGATTCAGAACTTTTTGAGTCTGGGTAATCTTTCCCTGTGGTCTCGAACTCTGTAACAAGACCCATCCGCCCCACCAGCTCAATAGTGGTGAGACTCAAGTGTCCCACCCCTGACTAAGGAATCCTCATGTGGGCGGAATTAGTTGTGGTCAGGGGAGGTCTGCAGTGGGGCTTCTACAGACTCAGGTGTCTTGAGGTCCCAGTTGGATGCTGGGTAAGTCTATGCCATATTGTGGTGGCTCGTCTGTGGGGGTCTGGCTCTGACCTGGTACAGCCTGCTCTCCTCCTCAGGTTGGAACATATGCTATGTGCAGACAGGTATGTGCCTGTACCCCCAGCTCTGTCTTTGGGGGGCCCCGCTGTCCAAGTTCCAAGTGTTTTCCCTGTCCACCTTGTGGGCTGCCATGTCTGCACACATCCACTGACTGTACTGCAGTAGGAAGCTGGGTCAGCAGAGAGCTGGGCAAAAGTGTGGTCCCTTGTAAGTGTCACCTGACTCAGGAGCCACATGTGCACCTCCACCCACCAGTCTGGACATCTCGTAACTTTGCTCAGCTGTGTAGACACCAGAGGACTTGTCTGCCATGCCCATTCCACCTGGACTCAGGGCTGTTATGCTCTCCACCCTCAGTTTTCTGTTCCCAAAGGCTCCTGGTTTGTCCCCCCCCCCGCCCCTGGCCCAAACTCTGCTGCTGCCGGGAGACCGTTGTACACGGGTCCCCATTGTGGAAGGGGCGAGAGGGGCCTTGGGTGGTGGCGAGTACGGCAGGAAGAAAACACCCGGGAGGCTGTGTCAGTGGACAGCTCGTTTATTATGGCAGAAGCAAAGGTTTATATAGGAAAGTTTCATGGGCAAAGAGGTGGGGTTGGTTTCCTGGCAGGCAGGCAGGTAAGGGGAGGGAGGGGCCTTCTAAGGCTATGTGGCTTTTGTCCTGTCCTCTGGTCACATGATCTACAAGAGACTTGGTTAGGATTAAAGGATTAGAGGCTTAATAGTTTTGCTTGGGGGTTGTTGGGTAAGACACGGTGTATCTAGAATGGAGTGGGCCAGTTTCCTGCCATCCTCACTAGGAGGTCTCCAACCTGGTGGCCATGCTCTATGTTCCAGGCACCCCTGACTTACCCCAACACTGGTTCACACAGCAGAGGTTGTGGTTTGAGCAGGTCTTGAAGACCCCCTCACCCCCAGCTTCATAGGGAGTGAATGGGGGGAGGCTGACATCATGACAAGGACCTGAATCCACCTGTTCATCAGTGACCACTGTGGCCAGGGTGTGCCGCTGCTGGAAGAGAGTGGGGCTGGCTCTCCTATCCTGGCAGGCTCTGTTGGAATCCATGACCTTGCTGTGTGGGGTTGTTGTGTGCTGGGATGGGCCTGGAGCTGTGGATGCCACGGGGCTCTGTGAGTGGCAGGTCCTCATCTGTGTCATGATCTTCTCCACTTCTGCAGGAGGAAGAGGAGGGAGGAGGGGAAAGAAGGGGAGGAGGGACGGGGCAGGGAAAGGAAGGAGGGGCAGGCAGAGGCTGAGTGATACACATGGGTGGTTGTCCCAAGGAAGAGGACCCAGGGCTGGCTCACAGCACCTATGGTCAAGGTCCAGATGCTAGGAGCCCAGCTGTAGAGCGCTCAGGCAAGGCTGACCTGGATTCTGAGACAGGGACTCCTTGTGCCCCAGCTGGCCTGGAAGTCACTATGTAGACCAGGCTGGCCTTGAACTCACAGAGATCCACCTGCCTCAGCCTCCTATGTGCTGGGATTAAAGGCGTGTGCCCCCATGTCTGGCCAGACCTGCATTTTTCAACATAGCATCTTCTCGGTGTTCTCAGAATTCTTGTCAAGGGCAGAGTTGAAGGTGAAGCAAAGAGACTTAGAACTTTTCATGAGAGCACCCTCGGAAGCTCTCAGGTGTGTTCTGTGATTTACAGCAAATGCTGGGGGGCAGAGGGCGGTGAGGAGGATGTCCCCCATCCCTCCTTTCTGTGGCTCTGGAGCTATGGAAGGACAGGCAAGAGCATTGGGTAGGAGAGTCAGCCTCACACAACGTCCATGTCGCCTCCATTTGCCTGTCCCATAGAGGCACCCAAAGGCCAGGGTGGACTCAGACACCTGTCCCCAGGCCTGAGAGGCCTGGGTGGGCACCCACAGATTTCACACTGTTGCCTTCCTGGTGCTTGAGGTGGGCTCAACACACCCAAAGATGGGCCGGGCCTGGAGCCTCGGTCCCGGGTGTAGGTTCAGGCAGTGGCCACTGGTGACCTGTGTTGGCTTCGCCCACTTTACCTGGGATATGTCTGCACGAACCCGCCTTTCCTAGAGTTGCGTCTCCAGCAGGAGGTGCAATGTTCTGTCTCCTAAAAGAGAGCTTTCTAGAGACAATGATCATCAGTTCCACTGAGATGTTCTCAGGATCTGCCACCCTCATCTCTCTGACTTAGGGTAATGGGGTTTGCAAACCTTCCTTCTGTCTGTCCGCTGTCTGACTCCAGCTCTGAGACCCCAGAAGACAAGCAGATGAAGGCACTCATGGCGTTCAGCCTCCTGTGTTCTGCAGACCCTTCCCAACCGTGGGGAAGTGGTCTTTGCGTCTTTGCGGTTATGTGAGGACCATCATCCTACAGGAAGGCTCATCGGGACTCCTGGATCTTTCAGTCACACAGGAGGAACTCAGGAAGTGATGAGGCATGACAGAACCTAGACGATGCCAGGAGAGGAGGCAGGAGCCAGCTGTGGCAGGAGCTGGAGCAGGTGCATTAGTCACCAAGCTGAGGTCAAACAAAAACAGAAACACGGGCACAGCACAGCCAGCCTGGGAAAACAGAGGAAGCAAACCAGGAAGACAGCTGCATTCTGGGTAGCTGGGACCTGGACTGGGTATAAAAGCCGCCCTGGGAAGGAGCTCCAGACATCCTCACCCTCCTCCAGACCAGCCAGCCCCACCACCATGTGCAACACCAGCTGCTCCTCAGGCTGCCAGCCAGCCTGCTGTGTGCCTGTGAGCTGCAGGCCCGCCGTGTGCATTCCTGTGAGATGCCAAGTGGCCTGCTGTGTGCCTGCAAGCTGCAGGCCCACTGTGTGCGTGGCCCCCTCCTGCCAGTCCTCTGTGTGTGTACCCGTGAGCTTCAGGCCCTCCTGCCAGTCCTCTGTGTGTGTGCCCGTGAGCTGCAGGCCCACTGTGTGCGTGGCCCCCTCCTGCCAGTCATCGGGATGCTGCCAGCCGTCCCGCCCCACCCTGGTCTGCAGACCTGTCACCTGCAGCACCTCCTCCTGCTGCTGACCAGCGTCTGCAAACCAGATCTGCAGATGGATGCTCTTGTCCTGTCCAACCCTGTTCTTCTTGACCTTGGGTTCAGCATGAGGCAGGTGGGAAGCATGCCCAGCCCTCCCTAGAGCTGGGAAGAGAACACGAGAGAGAATGATCCGGATCCCCTGTCCTGCCTATCTCCTAAGGATGTCCTGGCTCCAGGGTCCTTCTCTAACCTATGTGCCAAATAAAGCAGCTTCTCCATTCAGCTGTGTGTCTGTCCTGGTTCCTGTCTGACTTCCTGGCTGTTCAGGTTCAGAAAAGATGCTAGCTAATGCTGTCTGTGATCCAGTCCCACCTTGGCTCCTCAGGAGGTGGGATGGGGGAAGAGGGCGCAGCCTGACAGACTTGTCAGGTCCCCAGCATCCCTGAGGCGCCTGCCATGGATGCTCCCTGCTTTACTGCACTGTCCTCTGTCCTTGCTACCCTTTCTTATGGCGCCTGTAGCAGGGGCTCATGCGTGACAATCCTTAGAGTGTTTAGAAGGGGTTCCCGTCTTCTCTATCTTCCTACTGGACAACTTTGAGATCTTCGAATATGTCATACAAACTGATGTACTGTGTCATCCTCCCAGCCCTGGGGAAATTGGTGCCCAGTTTCTTATTGATAATCAATTATCATGATAGACACATGTAATTATTTCATACAAAGCAGCCAGAATGCCATGTTTGACTCGTTTTTTTGTGGCAGCCACTTTTGGAGTCACACGTACAGTGTTCTGTATCTTTTCAACAAATAATGTTGACTCCCTTCTGTATTTTTCAAACGTGTTAACAAGCTTAGGTTATTTCCCTTTTTCCTAAAACCTTTGAAAAACTAGTTCTCTGGGGCTGGAGAGATGGCTCAGCGGTTAAGAACACTGGTTGTTCTTGCAGAAGACCCGGGTTTGAATCCCAGCACCCATATGGCAGCTAACAACTGTCCGTAACTCCAGTTCCAAGGGATCTGACAGACTCTTCTGTCCTCCGTGGGCATTGCACAACACGGGTGCACTTACCTACACACAGGCAATACATGCATGCACATAAAATAAAAATAATAGATAAAATAAAAATGAATGAAGATGAACCATCACAACTGTACGCAGCTTTCTGGAGTGGGCACGGTTTCCTCTGTGAAGTGTTGATGACAGCTGTGTTTCCACTGGCTAGCTTTGCCCCTGGTCTCCTTGAGTCAAGTGTTCACATGCATGAATTCTGGTCTCTCATTTGGGAGGTGAAGAGAGGTAGGTCATAGGAGTGTTGCACGGCCCTACAGAGGCACAGGCCTTGCCAGCCCTTCTGTGTTAACTGTTCTCATCACCGTGACACAACACAGGGAAAAACAACTTAAAAGGGGCAGGATTTATCTCAGCTGGTGGTTTTATCCTGGAGCTTTTGGTGGGTGGGATCTGGCCGATTTCCTATTGTCTTGGGGAAGTGGTGACTTTTTTTTTTTTTTTTAAATGGTGCTAATATCTTCTTTTTTAAAAATTCTTTTGGTCTTTTTGAGACAGGGTCTCTCTGTAGCCCTAGCTGGCCTGGAACTCGCTATGTAGACTAGGCTGGCCTTGAACTCAGAGATCTGCCTGCTTCTGCCTCCTGGGATTAAAGGCGTGCACCACCACACCTGGCTGGTGTTAATATCTTTAACCACCACACCCGCTTGGCACTGTCTGCTCCCTTTCTGGCCGGACCCCATGTCTTTCAAATCCTGCCCTGCCTCTTGCTCCTGATTCTCATTGTAAATCTGGCTAAAAGCAGCAGCAATAACCAGACCACTGTGTGATCCTTTGCCGTCTTGAAATTTCCTCCACAAGATTGATTAGCTTGCCACTTTAAACTCACACTTGCATGACATTTCTGAACACAGACAAAATTCTTTTCCAGAGTATCATAGGAATATCTGGCCCAGCCCGAGCAGCACCTGCTCCTCTGGAACCTCAGGAGCACATCCTCCTGTCTGAATATCTGTTGGAATTCTGATCTGCACTCTCACTGGATGCCCCATTAGCTCTGCTTATGGAGGTGAGGGTCTATAAAGACCGTATCTCAAAGCTCTCACAACTTATATCCAGAAACCAGTCAAAGGACTAGAAACCATGTGGTGGCATTAGTCATGTGCGTCCCCACTTCTTTGGTCGAATTTCTCTGTTATCTTTGCATCGCTATGATAAAACACACACATCACAACTTAATATCAGGATGGAGTCGTTTGGGCTCTTGGTTTCAGAAGGGGTTTGGTCCATCATGGGGAGCAGAGCAGCTCATGTCACAGTGAGCCACAAAAGGAGGATGAGAGTGCTGGCTTCTCTTTAATCCTGGCCAATGGGAGTGAGCCACCCTCTCCAAGGAAGGTCCACACTCAGTTAATCCTCCCTGGAAACACTCTTGTAGACATGCCCCAAGCTGTGTCTCTCTGTGTCCTGGGTGGCTCTAAATCCATTCGCATTGATGAAGAAGATGAACCCTCACACTGTCCCCAGCATGGATCCTGGGCCTCTCCCAGCTTCCTCCCTGTTCCTGGGATTCCACACAGCGCTGCAGCCTTGGGAGGCAGGTTCAGAGCACAAGAGAGTAAAAACAGTGGGAGTCAGATGCATCGATCAGTTTTCTTTAAAGCTGTGAGGAAAGGGCAATGTGATTAGGAAACAGGAGTTTGATTAGTGCCTCAACCACAGCAAGAGGCACGGTAAGCTGAGGCCTTCCTAATCAACTAGACCACGATAGAGTGTTGACCAGAGGGACAATTCTCACCTGGGCTCATGGAAGTGACCACAGCAGCAAGTCCTGCATTTGAGAGACTAGAGAGGAGATGGAGGCACCACAGGGGAGGGGCCGGCCGTGCAAGGTCAGGCAGGAGGGTCTCAAGGACTGGCAACATATATGCTGTAGCAGGCCAGCACCACGTGGCACAGTGTCCAGCCCAACAGAGCCTCGTGGTGTCCGTGACAGCAGCAGTTCCCTCAGCCTGGACTGGGTAACAAGCGGTGTGAGGACAACACAGAGACAGGGCGGGCAGCAGGTGTCCTGAGGAGCAGTTCCTGTGGCGCATGGTGACTGGGGCTAGGAGGGGCTTAGGTAAAGGAAGGGACAGGTCTGTGGGGAGCTTATCTGAGTCGTGTGTGGGGACAAGGAGATCTAGCTATGTCCACAGGTGTGGTTAAATTACCCGTGTGCTCAGACACACTGCTACATACACTGACGATCCTGCCACATTCATGTTCACAATCTTTCAGGTGTATGCAGACACACACACACACACACACACACACACACACACACAGCTGCTTTCCATGCCCTTCTTCCTGTCTGCTGACTCCAGCAGGTGCCACGAGAAGGGGCTCCTTATGTCCAACCTCTCTCATTCTAAAGACCCTTTCAGGACACAGGAGAGGTGTAAATGCTGTGTGAGGACCATCATCCTACAGGGAGGAGCATCTGGACTCCTAGATCTTTCAATCACACAGGAGGAACTCAGGAAATGATGGAGCATGAAAGAACCCAGATGACGCCAGGAGAGGAGGAAGGAGCCAGCTGTGGCAGGAGCTGGAGCAGGTGCATTAGTCACCAAGCTGAGGTCAAACAAAAACAGAAACAAGGGCACAGCACAGCCAGCCTGGGAAAACAGAGGAAGCAAACCAGGAAGACAGCTGCATTCTGGGTAGCTGGGACCTGGACTGGGTATAAAAGCCGCCCTGGGAAGGAGCTCCAGACATCCTCACCCTCCTCCAGACCAGCCAGCCCCATCACCATGTGCCACACCAGCTGCTCCTCGGGCTGCCAGCCAGCCTGCTGTGTGCCTGTGAGCTGCAGGCCCGCTGTATGCATTCCTGTGAGATGCCAAGTGGCCTGCTGTGTGCCTGCAAGCTGCAGGCCCACTGTGTGCGTGGCCCCCTCCTGCCAGTCCTCTGTGTGTGTACCCGTGAGCTTCAGGCCCTCCTGCCAGTCCTCTGTGTGTGTGCCCGTGAGCTGTAGGCCCTCCTGCCAGTCCTCTGTGTGTGTGCCCATGAGCTGCAGGCCCACTGTGTGCGTGGCGCCCTCCTGCCAGTCATCGGGATGTTGTCAGCCGTCTTGCCCCACCCTGGTCTGCAGACCTGTCACCTGCAGCACCCCCTCCTGCTGACCAGAGTCTGCAAACCAGGTATCTCTGACGCAGATGGGACCCACCTGCCCCCTCCCAGCACCTGTTCTCTGTGACTGAAATTCAGCATATGAGACAGGTATGAAGCACGCCCAGACCACCCTGGGACTGTGGGCAGAGAATGCAGCAGAATGATCCGGATCCCCTGCCCTGCCCCTTCTCCTAAGGATGTCCTAGCTCCAGGGTCCTTCTGTAATCTGTGTGCCAAATAAATCAGCTTCTCCAGTCAGCTGTGTGTGCGCTCTGGTTCCTGTCTTTCCTGGCTGCTATCAGAGAGGATGTTAAGCTAAGGCTCACTGTGGTCTATGTGGTTCCTCAGGAGGTCGGATGTGGACAGAGGATATGGCTGAATGAAGTAGATGCGGTCAGGTCCCAGCATGCTCTCTGTGTGTGGCCCGGCAGTGGCTGTATCCCTCACTGCTCCACCCGCCTTGCTGCCTCGCTGCCCTTTCCCAGTGCGCCTATAGCAGGGGCTTCATACACGGCAGGTTCCAGATCGGCCCGGCTGTTTCCCTCTCCTCTCAGGAAGTCCTGGGTCATGTGTCATGGGGACTTTGGTCCTGCAGGGTGGCTGTCACAAGTTGGATCTTGGTTCTGTGAACAGATCTGCTGTCGTGACCCACCGTGGGTGCTGCAGGGCCACCAGGTTCTCCTTGAGTGTTGACCAGATGCAGTGATCATTTTTGTCACTTCCAGATTGAGCACTGGACATGTCGTCCATGTGCCATCTGTGATGTGAGGCAACTGTTCTGGAGTCCGGCACACCGTTCTGTGTGTTGTCTGTAAAGTTGTCTCAGACACACAGTGACGTTGAATGTCCTGGGGCTGCATTGTCCGTGTGGTGTTGGTTATAGACCCTGCTTTCCCAGCGGGCAGCCTCATCCCTGGTCTCCTACAGTTTGCTGTGCCCATCCCATACAGAACTTTCCTGGTGGGAAGGTCTGCTGTTCACAGGCTCTGCTGCGGCCCTGGGTGCCATCCTGGATCCGTCCCCCTATAGAGTTCTCTCTGCTGATTACCTTAGGCTCAAAGCATTTCCTTTATATCTGAGGCTGGTGGTGTCTGACCTGTGAGTCATTTTATAACACAATTACCAAGGTGGTCAGGGGCATACTGTGTTTAGGAGGGATTTGAATGAGACAACCAGAAATGGAATCAGTCATCACGGAGTAACAGTCCTAAACATGGACATCTCATGCACACACAGGTCACATGTACACACAGGCATGCACATGTGCACCATGCACACATGCACCTTGCACCCACTCCCTCATCTACTCCAGAGCACACAGTGAATTGTAGTCACACACAGAAGCACACTCACACACACAGACACACTCAGGTACCCACACCCTTGTACACATTTCTGTACCCCAGGCTTACACACATGTCCATGGTCCTACTCATGAATGCACAGTTTTTGCAAGCACACATCCAGGCATATCCACATACCCTGTGGACTATGTATTCATGCACATACATGCATGAATTCTGGGCTCTCATTTGGGAGGTGAAACTAGATTCAGAGCCTGAGGGGCAAAGGGAATCTGTGATGGTTCATAGTGATTGTCAGTTTGACAGGATCTAGAATCCTTGAGAGACACCTCAGCATGCCTGTGGTTATCTGGATTAGGATGATGCAGTAGGAAAACCCACCTTAACTGTGGGCAGGACCATGCCATGGGCTAGGGTCCTGCTCGGGATAAAAAGGACAAGCTGAGCCCTAGCATGTCTTTCTCTGTTTCTTGACTGTGGGTGCTGTGTGACCAGCTGCCTCACACTCCTGCTACCCTGCCTTCTCCTCCATGATGGACTGTGTCCCCTTGAACTGTGAGGTGAGCTAAACCCTTCGTCCTTTAGATACTTCTTGTCAGGAATTTGGTCACAGCAACAAGGAACGTTCTGATAAAAAATTTTAAGAACCTTTTGCTGCCGACACAGATACAGAACGCAGGCCCTGTTGGCCCGTCTGTGTTAACTGTTCTCATAACTGACATAACACAGGGAAAAACAACTTAAAAGGGGCAGAATTTATCTTGGCTTGTGGTTTCATCCTGGAGCCTTTGGTGGGTGAGATCTGGTCAATTTCCTATTGTCCTGGGGCAGTGATTGGCTTCCCTTTAAAGCTGTTCATATCTTTAAGAAGCACACTGTCCCCGCATTCTGTCTGCTCCCTTTCTGGCCGGACCCCATGTCTTTCAAACCCTGCTCTGCCTCTTCCTCCTGATTCTCATCACATCTGGCTAAAAGCAGCAGCAATAACCAGGCCAATGTGTGACTTCCTTACTGTCTTGAAATTCCCTCTCCCATATTAATGGAATCAGTGTGTTCGTCACTTGAAATTCACACTCTGACAGTATTTCTGGACAAAGACAAAATGTACACAGATTCTTTTCCAGAACGTCAGAGAAGTGGCCTCTGGTTCAATCCCAGTAGTACCTGTTCCCTCAGGAGCACATCCTCCTGTCTGAATTTTGTTGGCATTCTAGTCCTCTGCACTAACACTGGATCCCCATTAGCTCTGCTTAAAGCAGTCAGTCAAGGGCTGATTAAACTCACACCTCAAAACTCACAAAATCTATCCAACCACCGGTCAAAAGCCTAAGAACCACATGGTCAGGGTTAGTCACGGTGATGCCCTGACTTCCTTGGTACCAATTTCTGCATTAAACATCCTGTGTTGCTTTAATAAAACACCCAACACAACAACACAGAAGGAAGAGGGTGTTTTGGCTTTGGTTTGAGAGGATTCAGCCCATGGTGAGGAGCAGAGCAGTTCAGGTCATGATGGGCCGTGAGATGGAGACTTGGGAATGATGTTGGCTGGCCCGACTTTCCCCACATTAATTCTGTGTAGTCCCACAGCTGGTAGGATAGAGTTGCCAGAGTCAAGGGGTCGACCCAGCCAGCCCTCCGTAGAAACACACGGACGCACTTGGAGATGCATTCTTCGTCTCCCAGGCCACTCTGAATCCAGTGATTGACAGTGTGATGAACTAACACCCCTGCCTTCCCGGCATGGCCCTCAAGTGTCTCCCAGCTTCCTTGTATGGCAAGTGTTCTCCAGGGAGATTCTACATTTTCAGATCTTGAGAAGGCGGAAAGAGAGATGGACACGTGTGTTCATTTGGGGAGAGGCCTAATTTTGTTCAAAGCCAGGAGCAAGGGCAGTGTCAGCAGGAAAGAGGAGGATGGTGTGCTTCTGTCCACCAGGAAGGAGGCAAGGGGCCGTTGAGTTCCTCCCTGGCTCTGCCTCATCATCATGGAGTGTTGGCCAGGAGGAACAGTCCTCACCTGGGCTCGTGACTGGAACGGACCAGCAAGTCCATATTTGAGGGACTAGAGAGGAGATGGCGGTGCCACAGGGAAGGCGTCTGCAGAGCAGGGCTGGGCAGAGAGCTGGTGGCACCCAGACTACCAGAAATTTCTGGGCCCCCAGCAAGCCAGTTTGCCAGAGGCAGCTGCATGGCACAATCTGATAGCAGACGTGTCTGCCACCTTGGAATGGGCAACGGCCAGTGGGGAGGCAGCAGAGAAAAAGGGCAGGCGGCAGGCAGGAGAATCTGGCAGCTGGGTGGAGGAAGGAGCTGGTCCACAGAGAACTGGTCTGGGTGGCACATGGTCACACAGGGAAATACAGAATGTGTGCACATCCATGGTTACACTCACATCCACACTCAGACACACACTCACGAACAAACTCTGAACCCCGTGTGTATGTGTGTATGTAAGCACACATGCATGTTTATACTCCTTCACATGTACAAACACACACACACACACACACACACACACACACATTCATACATTGTTTTGGGTCAAGGGAGAAGGAAGGATCATGAGGGATTAAAGCTACAGCCCCAGGTCATGAGAGGAGTACAAGGCACGGTAAGCTTGTCTATATTATAAACAAGCTAAGATAAGATTAACTTTTTGATTTCAAGGCTAAGTAAAAGTCATTTGTTCAGAGCATGTCCCTGTTTCAAAGTTGTTCCCATGCCCCCTGTCTGTTATCTGATTCCGGCTCTGGGCTATAGCATGCTCCATGAGGCAGGGTGCCCTGTGTTCAGCTCCCACATTGTACAGATACTTCCCCACTATATAAGTGCAGCCTCTGTGGTTGTGTGAAGATCATCATCCCACAGGGTGGGAGGAACATCTGGAGTGCTGGGTCTTAGAGATCTCACAAGAAGAATTTGGGAACTGTAACAGAATAAGTCTGACTCTGGATGGCACTGGGAAAGCCCAGCTGTGGCAGGAGCTGGAGGAGGTGCATTAGTCACCAAGCTGAGGTCAAACAAAAACAGAAACAAGGGCACAGCACAGCCAGCCTGGGAAAACAGAGGAAGCAAACCAGGAAGACAGCTGCATTCTGGGTAGCTGGGACCTGGACTGGGTATAAAAGCCGCCCTGGGAAGGAGCTCCAGACATCCTCACCCTCCTCCAGACCAGCCAGCCCCACCACCATGTGCAACACCAGCTGCTCCTCGGGCTGCCAGCCAGCCTGCTGTGTGTCCAGTCCCTGCCAGCCATCCTGCTGTGTGCCTGTGAGCTGCAGGCCTGCCGTGTGCATTCCTGTGAGATGCCAAGTGGCCTGCTGTGTGCCTGCGAGCTGCAGGCCCACTGTATGCGTGGCCCCCTCCTGCCAGTCCTCTGTGTGTGTGCCCGTGAGCTGCAGGCCCACTGTGTGCATGGCCCCCTCCTGCCAGTCATCGGGGTGCTGTCAGCCATCCTGCCCCACCCTGGTCTGCAGACCTGTCACCTGCAGCACCCCCTCCTGCTGCTGACCAGCGTCTGAAAGCCAGCTGTCCTCATGACAGATGGACACTCTTGTTCTGTTCAATCCCATTCTTCTTGACCCTGGGTTCAGCATGAAGAGTGTGGGAAACATGCCCAGCCCACCTTGGAGCTGGGCAGAGAACACAGCAGAATGATCCAGATCCCCTGCCCTGCTCTTCTCCTCAGGATGTGCTGGCTCCAGGGTCCGTCTCTAACCTGTGTGCCAAATAAAGCAGCTTCTCGTCAGCCGCGTGTCTGTCCTGGTTCCCGTTTGTTCTTGGATCGGAAAGGACATAGGTCAATGTTCTCTGTGATCCAGTGTCACTGGGGTTCCTTTGGGATGAGTGGAGGGAGGGCGTGGCCTTTGAAGTGGGTGTGGTCCGGTCCCTGCATTCTGTGGTCCAGCAGCATGCAGCAGGCCATGAGTTCCTCCTCCCCTGTAACTGCATCCTGTCCCATCCCTCAGCTTCTCCTTCCCACATAGCAGTGGCCATCTATGATGGCAGGTGTTCAGAGGGTCCTCAGCTGGGTTTTTCTCTCTGTTAATTTTCTGTATCCCAGGTCATAGTGACTCTTTCCTCCAGGGACTATTTGAATCTTAGTTGTACAAACTGGATTAGCTGTGTTGAACCTTTCCCAGTGCTCCACACATCCCCATTTTTCAATGATTGATGGTCATAGTAAATGTGCCACTTTCAATGTAGGAACTAGAAGCCATCTTTCCTGTTCCACCAACTTTTGTGGCAGCTGCTGCCACAGTCAGGCAGCGTGGCATTTCTGTGTCAGGGGGTGGAGTTGAATCATGTTCTCCGTGTGCCTCCAAGTCATTGTCACTGAAATCTGACCTGGGGGCAACAGCGTAGGTGACAGATCTATTTCCCATGGGCAGCCTCATCCCTGGTCTCCTGCAGATGGTTGTTAATGGTCCACACTGAGGTTCCCGGGATGACAGGCCTGTGGCTCCCAGGCTGTGCAGTGCTGTGGGTCCACCCTGGCCTGACCCTACAGAGTTCTGGCTGCTGACTGCCCTGGGCCACAGCCACTTCCTTTATGCAGCTGGTGGTGAGAAGTGAATTGCACACTCGCACGCCCAGCACACACACTCACATACAGACACATACATACACATGCTCCGCACTTACACTCTCTCACACTTCGCTATCACACACTCATACCACTCGCACCCGGCACTCACACACACTCGCACACCCACGCACACCCACGCACGCAGACTCTCACATGTCACTGGGGGTGGGCTTTAATCGTTTATATCCACGTCCCATCCCACTTCCAGTTTGCCCTCTGTGTTGTTTGTGGTTGAAGGTGTGGTTTCTCAGCTTCCTGCTCCAGCTGCCCGCCCACTGCCACGTCTCCTTTGCCATCGTTGATGCCTCCTCTGGTACCAAAACAGCTCTTCCATAAATCACTTTTGGCCATGGTGTTTTATCACAGCAACAAAAAGTTAATAACACACGTGGCTAAACACACATTTATACTCACACCCATGTAATGAAGCCCCAAATCTGACACCTCATGGGAATTCTCACCTTGACTGAATTTAGAACCCCAGGGGACACACCTCTGGGCATGACCATGAGGTATTTCCAGAGCGATGTCTGCCGTATGCAGAACTCAATGGGCCGTTCTGCAAGAACAGAATTTCAATAAAAAGGCAGACACTAAGGGTGACCACATGGTTTCAGAGGGGACAAGGACTTGTGTTTTATTCTGGCAAAAATATCTGGATTTTCCCCATGTCCTAAAACTTTAGTGAAGCTGAGTTCAAATGTCATGGGGCTTACTTGTGTGGCAGAGGAGCTTTCAAGACAACACAGCATTCAGGCTGTGGCCTGGTGCCTGGCAACTGCCCTCGGCAGATTTACAGTGAGACAGGAAATGCACAGCTTAGCAAGGAAAGGAGCGTGAACCAGGTTAAGGGTGCAGACAAGGCAGGTGTGGAGGAAGTGGCTGTGATTACTGAGAGATCAGCACCATTCAAGAGAAGCTTCAAAGTCTGCACTGGGACCGTAGGAAAGGTGTCCTGACTATTAGATCAGGATTGATCAGGATAGCGTAAAATGAGACCAACCTCGACAGAAGTAGACGCTCTTTATTAGAACTGCAAAGGGACAGCAGTCTCTCCATATAGACTGGATGGAGACACTGCCCTGAGGCATGGTTGGTTTGAGTTTTTAAGGAGCCTAAAAGAGGAAAGAGTGGGTAGTTTTCCAGCAGTTCTGTTTTTTAATGGTTTGGGGGTTTGGGACAATAAGTGCTGGCCTGTGTTTTCCTCAGATATTACAGTTTCCAGGTTGGGACTTTCCAAGTTGAGACAGTTATCCTTCACTGAGCACCGGACCCAATCATCAAAGGTTCAAACTGTGAAAATGCAAATTCGTTTGAAAGGAAAAAGACTGACCTGATGCTGCTTCGGAGCTGCTGCCCAGGGAAGTGTTTCCCACGCTTTCACAGTAACCGGACGGAACTGGGTACATTGTCATTGTGGAGTGGTGCTGGTTTTACAGGTATGTTAGATACATGGAGTCTGTGAAGGCTTGCACCAAGGTTCCAGAAAGATCTGAAATCAGGCAGTGTGTGGCAGGGTTAGAGTCCCCATAAAAAGATTCTGAAAAACTTTCACAGATTGCATGAAGCAATCTAAGTTGCAATGGAAGCCCCAGTATGTTGGAGATGCTAGGTGTAGGGAAATACGAAGTGAGAGAAGAGAGGAAGAAACCGACCTTTATAGGACAAGTAGGTGTATTAGGGACAAACCTAAGAGGGCACCTCTCTGAAGCCTGGGGGCCAGAGGAGATGGGCACCCCTCACAGACCGGGATCTGGAGGAGGAGCAGCCTCTCCTGAAGACTCAGGGTTTTTATGTTTCTTCTCCCTTTGGGGAGGGGGAAGGGGCTTGTAGCCGAGGCCATGTCACATGGGGAAGGGTAGTATTCAGGTGAGATGCTGGGTTCTGGGAAAGCGGTCACAGGGCAGCAACCAAGTGAGGAACATTCAGGACCTAATATTTTTCCATCAGTCCTGACTCTAAAGGGATATAAATAGGAATGGGAGGCATCACCATCATCATTATCATCATCATCATGTCTGACTGCTTCCTGCTGGTGAGAGGTGGAGAGTTTGATTGGTCATACATATTCCTTAAGAGGAGGATGGTTTTTATGTGGTCCCAAGTGGCAGCTTGAGAAATTGCTGTGACCTAATTAATCAAGAACCTCTAGAAGAGACTCAGAAAATGTGGCAAAAGGATGAGTAGCAGGGTAATTATAATCAGTGGGGTGAGCGCAGGCAGGAGCCAAGGGGGAGGGCAAGAGAAAATCCCTTGTAAAGTGTCGCCTCCCAGTGAGGGTGCTTATTCTTTAAGCTTTTAAAATTCATTTCTGGACCACAACTGACTGGTTGGTGACTGCCCTTCCATGGTCAGAACAACTAAGCCCCATCTATTTAGGAAGAGCCACGTAGTCTATTTGTGGTGAGCTGGAGTGCCAGATCCTCCAGGGAGTCTAAGGACTCTGGATGGTTGCTGAAATTTGTAGTTCCTGTTCATAGGACCTAAAGGAATCTGTGGAGAAGGCCATGGTTAGAGTCTGAAGGAGACTGAGGAACCAGGAGGGGGTGTTCCAACCTTTTGGTGGGCTCATAGAGGAAGAGCTGTGGGCATTTGGGGGCGCTGTTGAGGAAGGACATAGTGAACAAGTGTAGGTGTTATGCCATATAGTAGGAGTGAGACAAGATAGGGGCATCCCTGGCAAAGACAAGGTTGTGCTAGTAGAATTGGAAGTGAGCCAGGGAGTAGGCTATGCCTGTCCAGATAGCTTGGCGGTCGTGTGGTCAGCCAGGTGGCAGTTCCTCTGTGGGCCTGTGAGAAAGAGTCTTTAATGATGAGTATGGGGATTTGAATAGTGAGTGAGCAATGGGGTTGTGTTCCAGGGAATGGCCACCAGGGAAGGGTGAGATGCAGAGGGCCTAGTCCCTGTGAGGGAGCCTGTGATGGGTGTTCCAGGGCAGGAACAGAGAAAAGCTTCCATAGCTGAGCCTGTAACTCCCCCAATGACCTTAGAACTAGGTCTGGGTCACTGGGTTGGGACCGTCCCATAAAAGACATGTATAAGGTGGCCTCAATTTTTGCCCAAATATTCAGAGGGGCAGAAGTAAAGAGTCAGTTTGTGGCCGCTGATCCAGAACAGACCTAACAGAGAGGTCCAATTAGTGTAGAGCAGGGAAGCCAAGGTGTTAATGAGATGGAGCCGAGGGTGGGGGTCCCAGAAGCCTTCCAGGAGAGGGATGAGCAGACTGAGCAGGGAGAGGCTGAGGTAGATTATTGTTCCCAAGGTGTGGGGGAGGCTCCCCAGAGCATGAAGGCAAGGTAGAGGGAGAAGGAGATCTGGGTGGGGGCAAAGGTTTGAAAGGTTCCCTGGAGCCAGAGTTCCTCCACTAATGAAAAGAGGTCATTAGTGGAAAGAGGGGGCCTTGGGAAGGGGTTCCAGGTCACGTCTTCTGTAAGTGCTGTGAGAAAAAGCTTGAAAGAGTCTAGGAAGAACAGTAAAGATGGCATCCTTAAGATCGATTACTGTGATCGATTACTACCCCCATAAGGGGAGATAGAAGATAAGAGTGATTAAGGGTTAGGGACCACAGGATAGGTGACTTTAATGGCTGTGTTCAGGTTGGGGAGCCCAGGGGTGGAAGGTTAGGGGTGGGAAGGTCCTGGAGGTGAAACAATCTGATATTGGATATGGGGTATGAAGTGGGCTGCCCCTGATCTATGTAGGAAGTCATGTCCCAGAAGGGGAGAGGGACAGGAGGAAAGACTAGAAATGACTGGACTACAGTTATAGAGCCAAAAGTGCAGAAAACTTGGAGAGTTTGTTAGGATACTGTGGTATCTCCAACCCCCATCATGATGATCAAGGTCTGGAGAAGAGGGCCAGCAAATTCAGTTAAGAAAGATAGACTAACTCCAGTATAAACAGGACAGCTGGACACTGTCC